TCCTCCAAGAAAAGAGAGAATGAAGGCAAAGGTGGGCTCTGAGACAAGGGACCGGCTGAAATAGGGCCCCCATGCCCTTGTCTTTAGGTCACTTGATGTCTCCACTGACTCACTGCTCTCATCTATGAATTGGTCACAATCAGTCACTGACTTGGCAGTCAAAAGAAGTAGTAGGTCTAAGTAGTAGGTCCACAAGCCTCTTTGATCTCAGTTCAGATCCTCTTCCTATCTCCCCAGGCTCAGTCCCCAGTTCTGTAGCAAAGGACTTCCTGGCTCCACACCAGTTCCAGTCATCAAATGCCCCTTCCTACGCCTTCCCTGTATTTGGCTCAGATGATGAGAAAGGAAGCTGATCATTTTGACAAAGTTCATTGGTCCCATGGGGCTATGGAATTGGGGTGGGTTCACCCTGTCTCCCGGGGCCCAGGCCCTTTTGGCACAAGCATGTGGAATATCCAGAAGCTCAGGACACTTTATCTTGTTCCTCCATGCGGTGCAGAACCAGACACTGACCTTCAGGGAGGCGGTGCAGTTTCCAAGGGCATATGGTGATAGTGGTGATATTGGGGAGACAGAGCCAGGGAGAATAGGTGCAGGGGAGAGAGAATCAGTGCTGTAATAAGTCCTGCCAGATCGGATAGCATCTGCTCTCACCCTTCATGTACCCACACATGCTGTCCCTACGGGAAGAGAGCTCCTTGCCCTCCAAATATGGTGCACTTCTCAGTGGTCAGCTCCACACCTGCAGCGGGGGAGCTCTGGTTGAGCGGCAAGGTCCTGGGCTCAGCCTGAGTGTGAAGAATTGAGTGTGTGGACACTGGAGGGGGTGTGGGAGGAGGATGGTCCCTCTCCAGGCCTCGGAGGGGTGGTTCATGTGGGATGGATTCGGAACCACTGCAGAAAGGGAGATTCCGGGGAGATGCTGGGGAAGAACTTCCAAACTTCCAGCAGGGCAGAGAGTCCAATCACCCCAAGAAGAGTCTGTGAAGGGAAGGGAAGTTACAGCTCTCCCCTCCACCTGCATGGAGGAGGCAGGACCAAGTGACCTGTTAGGGGAGAGGTTGGTTCTCTCCCTCCCCTCCCTGCAGCCCCCCTTGGGGTGATTCAGTGCCTGTTTGTTGAACTGGACTCAGAGGCCTCTGCCCCGACATTGTCCACAGTAACAGCAAGTAATAGAAAGCACTTTCATGTCAGATTCTCAGGGTAGGAATCTTCCAAACCCATTTTGGAGGTAAGGAAATTAAGGCTCTAACAAGGTAAAGAATGTAACATGTTTGAGGGCAGGTGGCAAGAGGAAGGTAGAACCTAGAGGTTCTTTCCATGACAGTCCGCCAGCCCCAAAGTCCTGTACCTTGACCACTCTGTCCTCCCACCCGACCCCTCAGGCCTCACCTCCCAGAGTGAGCTCCCGCCCTCCCCACAGTCTCAGTCTGAGTCTCTCCCGGGTCTCTCCCAGTGGACAAACCAAGGTGCTGCATCCCAGAGAGGTCTGCCAAGCTGAGAAACGCCAGGGGCTGGTGGATGAGGACATGGGCAAGGAGCCGGGCTGCTGGGCTCTTCCCTGACCACCCACATATTAATAAAGTGCATCGCTCCCCACCATCATCTTCTTTCTCCCAGCTCTGCTTTATTTTTCTTCATAGCATTTATATCAGCAATCTATTAAGCATCTATTTTGTTATTGTCTCTTTTCCCCAAGAGACTGTCATCTCCATGAAGCAGGGACTTTTGTTTTGTTTATGGCTGTACCCCCAGTGCCTCTAAATATTTACACGGAAAATGAATGCCTGCTAGGCCTGCCACTCACTAGTTATGTGACCCTGGGCAAGTTACCCATCTCTCTCTCTCTCCGTCTTTGTTTTTTTTTTTTTTTTTTTTGACACAGCGTCTTGCTCTGTTGCCCAGGCTGGAGTGCAGTGGCACGATCTCAGCTCACTGCAACCTCTGTCTCCCGGGTTCAAGCAATTCTCCTGCCTCAGCATCCTGAGTAGCTGGGATTACAGGCGCCTGCCAACATGCGCAGCTAATTTTTGTATTTTTAGTAGAGATGGGGTTTCACCATGTTGGCCAGGCTAGTCTCGAACTCCTGACCTCAGGTGATCTGCTCGCCTTGGCCTCCCAAAGTGCTGTTATTATAGGCGTGAGCCACCGCACCCAGCCTCACCCATCTCTTGATTAACATTTATCAAGCCCTTGCCATGTGCTGGGCACTATTTATTCTATGAACTTTACATGTATTAGCTTATTTAAGCCCCACACAAACCTATGAGGTAGTTACTATTATCACCCTCCATCACCAACATATGAGTAAAATGAAGCCCTGAGAGCAGAGGTGGCTGCTTAAGGGAGGTGGCTGGGGGCAGAGCTGGGATATCACAGGCAGGAATAAGTGCTTGACCTAGAGCTGAATTAATTGCTGGTGCACTCTGGACCCCACTTCTGCTGAGTGACTGTCTCTTGTTCTCTGCACCCTACTCCCATATTTCCTGGCCTATAAAACAGGGCTATTCACAGCTCCACCTTTCCTTCCCTCCTTTATTGCTCACTCTTCTCCTCAACAGGGCTCAGTCTCCCAGGAGAGGATGGAACAGGCAAGACTTGGGTGCTGGGGGCCGAGGGCGAGGTCAGAGGTGTCACTGGTGCTCTGGCTGCCTGCACAGGCAGGAAGGCTTCTTTGCCAGCCTGGGAGTCAGTCTCCTTCCTCTTTTCTCTCTCACGCTCTTCTAGGTTTTGGGTTCTCTTCCTATGAAACAGGGAGGAGTTTCTCAAGATCCAGTGTGAAGGAAAGAATAGAGAAGTTACGTGAAAGGTGTCTGTTTCCGGTAATGTGGTGGTCTGGGCCCACTCCAGCTAAAAGCAACAAAAAACGCTGCATAGAATTAAATCTTTTCAAAGCATTGAAGAGCCCACAAGGCAGTAAGAAATGAGTAGGCCAAAATCTAAGTCAAAGCAGAATCTGTACTGGGGTCCCCGGTGCCCTGAGGTCATTGGCCAAGCCAAGCCGAACCTGAGCTTTGATCTTGATGGTTTGGGGAGTGAGGAAGACAGAAGTGGAAGCCCAGGGCTCACCCCAGGAGGGGACACAAATGGATGACCCTTCCATGATGCTGAGACCCCAAAAGGCTACACACTCAAGCTAAAAGCCAGAGGAAATCCCATCCTGCCTCGCACAAGACCTCAAGGAAGGTTATTTTGGTGCTGAGCAGAGCAGGGGAAGAAGGAAAACAGCCCTTAAGGAGCTCCAGCCTCGGTCCAGCCTTCATGTGACTCTAGCCCAAATTCATTCCCATCACCTGGGAAAGGCCAGAAAACTCAAGCTTAAATTGCTGGAAGTGCCCCTGTGCTTCAAAGACATCCCACCCGATGATTTCCCCCAGGGAAGCGAGCAGTTCACAGCCAAAAGCTGTGCTCTGGTCAGGCAAGTTCAGACTTCTCATCTGTAAAGGGGAGGCTTAGCCACATGCTCTCCAAGGTCTCCCCGGAATAGAGATTTGTAGGGGTGCAACCTGAGCGAGGCAGAAGTGTGTCCCCACTTGGTATTCTCAGGACTCTGCAGAGTGAAGAGATGGGGCTGTGATGTGCTGGATAGGCCAGCCTGTCTTCTCCAACTGAACTGGAAGGACTCGGCAGGAAGCTGTCCCCAGTTCCCAACTCTGGGGGAAGGCAGAGGGGGAATGAAAGGGGAGTGGTGTCTGAGCCCAGACTGGCCTTTGATGTGTGCGTGGATAGGTGGGCAGCTGGGGCCTGTAATGGGGCTGCTGAGGGATCCCTGAGGGCATCCTCAGTGTTGACCTACTTGAGTCTCCCATAATTGCTTCCTTCCTTTCTTGGGAGGCTACAAATAGTGAGGCCCTGTCTCTAAGCTCCTACAGCTGAAACACCAGCACCAGCGGTGAGTGCCAGCTGCTTGGGTCCTGCCCTGGGTTGAGTGTCAGGGCAGTTTGGGGGACCCCCAATAGCCAACCTGACTCCTGACCCAGGGTCTGGCATTGGAAGCAGAGAGATGACCACAGGTGGGCCTGACAGGGGGAGGGAAGTCAGATATAGTGGACGCAGAGGTTTCCTTGCACAGTGAGGGGCTGTCGGGGAAGTTTGGACTGGGGGGTGTGTAGAGCTAAGGTCTGCCTTGGGGTGGGAGCACTGGGCTCAAGGTTCTGGTGTTCCCCTTGGTCAGGCCCCTCACTTGCTCCTTGCCTCCTTGCTTTACCTCTGAGGCTGCTCATTTCTCAGGATCATGGCCCTTTCCTCTCCTGGGAACCTGGACACCTTGCTCCAATCCTGGGGTGTTTACAATGAATCGAATTCTGGCAGTGCTTGACACCCCCCACTCTCCTTCCCCTATTTTCCTGCCAGCCTCGACCATGCCAGCCATTTGCTCCCAGCAGGGGCCCAGCAATGGGTAAATCTTCAGGGAGAGTGTTGGCCCTGGCTGTCCTGTGCTGCAGGACTCTCGTCCCGTGGGGGAACCGGGAGTGAGTCACTGGGCTAGCATGGAAAAAACTCTTGCCTTCCTGGCCGCCTTCGGGTTTTCCCAGGCTGGAGGCATCATCCCAGAAGGGCGGTGGAAGGGGAGAGTTGAAGTGAGGGGAGGTGAGCAATTCCAGGAAGGGCTTCCCCTCCAATAGAACAGGGTACCCCTATATAGAGCCTTCCTGTTCAAAACCCCCAGGGGTCAGGAGGGTAACCTCAGGCCAGGCGAGTCTCAGATTGGTAAACACCCGAACTGGTCAACTCTCAAGAGATCATCTGGTTCAGGCTCCTGACTAGGCCTGTGAGGTGGGATGACCCCACCTTATAGATTAGGCCCCGCCCCTGAGACCCAGAGAGACAAATGACTCACCAGGGTTGCACCGCTGGCGAGAGGGAGAGAGGATCCCACGAGTTTTTCTTTTGGATGCAGCTTCCTTGAGTTCAGGGCAGGAGGCAGGATGAGGGGAGTGGTGGTGAGGTGGTGGGGGTGCCTCTCAGACCTGCCCCTCCCTGCTAAGGCCTGGCTTCTCCAAGGGCCTGAGGGCAGAGAAACACAGGGCCAGGCTCTCCTTGTGCAAGTTCCCGCGGGAGGGAGGCTTCTAGGGCATCTCATGGGCTGGGGCAGACTGGGACCGAGCCAGCCCTGGGTGTTGGGGATAAGAAGAGGTGGCAGAGAATCTGGGAGTGCTTAAGGAGCCCCGCAGTGGGGAGTGTGGGTGGTGGGGTGGGATGCTGTCTCTTTGAGGAGTTTGCGGTGATGTTGGGGTAATGAGACCTCCACACGGGGAAGTAATAACAGGACAGCAGGGGGATAAATTAGGAGGGGCTGGTGTGGTCCGGGAGGGCTGCTCAGAGGAGGGGGAGACTGCGGGGCCTGAAGCCTGATGGAGGTTAGGATGGGTCTGGGAACAGTCTCTGAGAAACACAGAGGGCAGAGGTGAGCCGGGGGTTTGGCCTGGAACTCTGCTGTGAGTCACACCCTTGTTCTGTGACAGTAAGGATGGCCAGGCCTCTGGAGCAGGCGGTAGCTGCCATCGTGTGCACCTTCCAGGAATATGCAGGGCGCTGTGGGGACAAATACAAGCTCTGCCAGGCGGAGCTCAAGGAGCTGCTGCAAAAGGAGTTGGCCACCTGGACCCCGGTGAGCAGTTGGAGTGTCTGTCCCCTCCTCGCCCAGTGGGAGGCACTGCCTAGACTCTGCCAAGAGAGACCTGGGGACAAGCATGAGCACAGGACAGCAAGGGGAGGGGGCTGGTTTGTGAGGAGGAAGTGGGAGGGGAGAACTGACATAGCAGAAACCTCAGCTTCCTCATCTATAAAATGGGATGACAATCATCACACCTGCTGCCTTGCAGGGTTGTGCAAGGGTTGTGCTCTCTCTCATGAGCGAGAGCACCATGAAGAATGCCTAACACATAGTAGGCACTCAGTAGCAAATAGTAGGTGCTCGATTAATAATCTGAGAGGGCAGTTTTGGGAGGGGATTGCAACGGGTGCATTATCAGAGCAGGGAGGTTGAAATTGGCCCTTGGAAGGGTGTAGTTTGGGGTAGGGTGGGTCCACTTGGGAGAGGAGGGAGGGAGGTGGCGTGTGAGGCTGTTCTGCCCTCCTCATCCTACTCCCCCACTCCTCCCCACCCTTCCCTTGCACAGACTGAGTTTCGGGAGTGTGACTACAACAAATTCATGAGTGTTCTGGACACCAACAAGGACTGCGAGGTGGACTTTGTGGAGTATGTGCGCTCACTTGCCTGCATCTGTCTCTACTGCCACGAGTACTTCAAGGACTGCCCCTCAGATCCCCCCTGCTCCCAGTAGCCTCTGCTCCAGGGGGTGCGCCAGCTGTTGGGGGCTGGGCATGTCTCCCACACTCCCTCCTACCCTCTCTCCTGTACCCCTTTCAATCTGGACTTGCCCAGGTCTTCTGTGATCAGTTAACCCATTTTACCTAGGAGGCCCAGAGATGTGTGGGCTCCTTTCCCAGGATGCCCAGCAAGTGAGGGGTAGAGCCACTCTGGGCCCCAGCCTGCCTGCTGCACCCCTGCGGCCTCCCTTGTGGATGGGAGGAGGCGGGATCTGCTGTGAGGCCCTCGAGGCTCAGCAGAGCGTGCACCAATGAGACCACGATGGGAAAGGGCCTATTTAACTCCTAATAAAAAACTGGCATCAGCTTGGTTTTGTTTGATTCTTCTCTGAGGACGCGTCTGCTGAGTTCTTTGCTCCTTTCTGGCCTTTTCTACTGCAGGAAGGCAGCTGAGGGCAGGGGCAGGGGCAGGGGGCTCCCCCAGGGAAGTTGCAGACCCTGCAGAAATGCAGTGGCCTCCAGGGTCCAGCAGGAGGGCGTGGGGCCAACACAGGGACCCCTGTCCTCCCTTCCTCTCTCTCTCTCTCTCTGGGGTCTTTGAGAGAGGACCGCCTGAGTTTCCCCTGGGACTCAGTGCTCACGGTTGGATGACCTGAGGAGGGTGGGGCCGTGGGCACAGTGGGGGTGTTTGTTCCCTGCCCCGGGCTGTGGGAGCCCAGAAAGCAGCACTAATGGGATTAGGGTGTCTGAGGTGTTTACTCCCAGCCAGGAAGTTGTGCCCTGTGTGGAGGGGGAAGGGGATAACTTGAGGCAGCCCCTATCCCTGAAGCCGCAGTCCCCTGAGGGCCTTAACCCCCTACTTCTAACCCTCACTGAGTTTGTAGCCCACCCTGAGAGGTTGGCTCGAATTCTAACTCCCCTATTTCGTGCCATTTCACCTCTAGCTCTCCACCCCAACCTGGATTCTTCATTCCTGACACTCATCCCAACTTGAAATGGCCCCTCCTGATACCCTCTCCGAACCTGAGATCTATCCGTGAGCCCCCACGTGTCACTGCCACTCCATACTCCATCACCACCTCACCCAGGACCTTTCCCACTGACGTTCCTGAAGGGGTCCCAGAGCCTCATTTGGGTGTGAACCTGTTCCCCTCCAGATCCCCCAGCCCTGGCCCTGAGCCTTACTTGGCATGGCAGACAGTACTGGGCATGGAGATCCCTGCCCCATTTTTGTTTTTGAGTCTTTATTTTTTTAAGAGACAAGGTCTGCTGTGTTGCCCAGGCTGGAGAGCAGTGGCTTGAGCATAGCCAACTGCAGTCTCGAACTCCTGGGCTCAAACGATCCTCCTGTTTCAGCTTCCTGACTAGCTGGGACTACAGGCTACAGCCACGCTGCCCGTCTAATTAAAAACAAATTTTGTTTTTCCTTTTTATAGAGACAGAGGTCTCACTATGTTGCCTAGGCTGGTCTTGAACTCCTGGCCTCAGGCGATCCTCCCATCCCCCTCCCTAGCTTTTGTGTCACCACATTTCCAGGGCAATCTCCCATCTGTCACCCACCACCCCCTGCATCTTCTTTCCTAGCTCCCTGATGGAACTACTCCCTCCCTGTCCCCCATGCTCCAGGCACAGACTACCCCTTCCTCCACCTCTCTAAAACTCAGGCTGAGCTATGTACACTGGTGGTGCCTATTGCATCCAGGTCCCTGCTGGTAACTGCTGGGGCTTACCCGTTACCCAAACAAGAGGCTTGGTTGCAAGGCTGGGCTGGTGGAGGGTGCTGTGGCACTTAACACATCAGCCCACAGCAGGAAGGCAGTATCCACTCTCCCCTGTCCCCTGCTATGGGCAGGGCCTGGCTGGGGTATAAATAGGTCAGACCGCTGGGCCGTCCCCATTCTTCCCCTCTCTACAACCCTCTCTCCTCAGCGCTTCTCTCTTGGTTTGGTGAGTTGTGTTGGCCTGACTGGCATGCAAGGGGTGTCAGAGGCCAGGGCTGGGGCAGGAGAAGGGGAAGCTGGTGGGGGCTAGATGTGCTAAAGAGATCCAGATGTGAGACTCTGATGTGGAACTCTGGGTAGAGTGTGTGCGTGGGTGTGCATGTGTGTGGGTGTGCATGTGTGTGGGTGTGCATGTGTGTGGGTGTGCATGTGCACACACACGTGCACGTAAGAGGGAGGAAAAAACCAACAGAAAAGCGAGCAAGTGGCTAGATTTGAGCTCTCCAGGTGCTTCCGAGATGTGGGCTTGCACATGCTGTTGCTATAGTATGTGTTGGTATGTATGTGCCCATGGGTATCTGCACTGGCTCATGTTTGCTGGGTTGCGCACTCGGGAGCAGGAAGCAAAGGAAAGGCAGAAGGCAACTGTGGGCGTTCGTCTGGTGGTGTGCCCCATGAGCCTCTGCCCTGCACGCAGCAGCCCAGCTCAAGAAGGAGCGTGGCCTCTGCACCTTCTCTTCCAACCCTTGCCTCTGCCATCTCACTTTGCCCCTCCCTACGCTGAGCACTAAGCAGCTGGTTTTTTCCGCTGCAGGCCCCTGGGCAGGCCTCCAGCAGCCGCACCCAGTGCTGGGAGGGAGAAGAATGGCCAGGGCGGGGCCTTTGTGGCTGAGCCGTGGGAGTGGATAGACTGAGCGAGGGATGGAAAAAATGCTGTTGTTGAGGCGAGGCCTGGGAGGCCCTGGGAGCTTGCTGCCTGAATCTCCAGAGCCTGCGCAGTGGGTTCTGCAAATGTTCACTGCCCAGAGCATGTGTTCCCCACTGTGCACACCCTCCCCACCAGGTGCTGGGCCCACTGCTCTGGGCTCCCCCAGGGAGGGAGCAGAGTCTCGCCAAGTGCTCCTGGAGGGATGGGAGGGGAGCCTGGCATTCTGAACACATCTCTGAGGGGTGGGGTAAATAAGAGGGTCTTTGTGCCTCCTGCTCCCAGATCCTGACTGCTGTCATGGCGTGCCCTCTGGAGAAGGCCCTGGATGTGATGGTGTCCACCTTCCACAAGTACTCGGGCAAAGAGGGTGACAAGTTCAAGCTCAACAAATCAGAGCTAAAGGAGTTGCTGACCCGGGAGCTGCCCAGCTTCTTGGGGGTGAGTGGGTAGTGCTTGAGTGTGTCCCCACGTGGGGCATTTCCCACAGAGGAGGGCAGCAGTCTTGCTCTAGAGCACTAGCTACAGAGGGCATCTATCAGTGGGGTGACTGCCTGGGGTGGAAACACATTGAACACCACCGCTCACTGACTGGCCCCATGTGCTGAAAGAGGGCTGAGAATGAATGTGTCAGACACTGCCAGATGCTTTGCACAACTTAACTGAAGGGAAGACTAAGCTCAGAGTGCTAAGTAACTTCCCAAGGTGGTCAGTGTACACAACTGCCATCTGGACCAGGACTGTCTGACTCTTGCCATCACGCCAACAGTGGACACTGTTTGAGTTTCTGTTTGGCTTGTAGATGTGAAGACACAGATGTGGAGATGATCACAGGCCTGCAGACATTCCCCTCAAACACTAACAATGTATATTTGTATCAAACATAATACAGTTTACATATTGTTTTCATGACTATTACTACCTCATGGGATTATTAGAGCAACCTTGGGTGAAAATGTAGTGGTTCCGTCATTTTTCCATTGCACCAGGTACTCAGACTTCCTTATCCAAGGAGTACCTTCTCCATCCTAGCTTAGCCTTGAGGGTTGGAGTTCCAAACTGGACCTCCCAAAGGAGCCTCCCTGAACTCTGGTCTGGGAGTAGAAACTGGGTCTGGTCCTGGCTCTCCCTACTGGGCTTCTGTTTTCTATCTGTAGCCTCTTCTCCCTCCAGAAAAGGACAGATGAAGCTGCATTCCAGAAGCTGATGAGCAACTTGGACAGCAACAGGGACAACGAGGTGGACTTCCAAGAGTACTGTGTCTTCCTGTCCTGCATCGCCATGATGTGTAATGAATTCTTTGAAGGCTTCCCAGATAAGCAGCCCAGGAAGAAATGAAAGCTTCTCTGATGTGGTTGGGGGTTCTGCCAGCTGGGGCCTTCCCTGTCGCCAGTGGGCACAGTGCCCCACCCTGGATCCTTCAGACACGTGCTTGATGCTGAGCAAGTTCAATAAAGATTCTTGGAAGTTTTGAGGCTGATGGTTTGAGAGACTCTGGGGGCATGGGTTGGGGGCTGAGAGAGATGTTGTGGGGTGGTGGTGGGGAGAGCTGAAGTTTTATGGAGAGCAAACCAGTGAAGTCAGGGGAGGGATGCAGGATGACTATGAGTGTATGCACAGGCAATAAAGTTCACTCAGTGAGGTCAAAGCTGAGAAGGGGACCCCATAACCACCCCCTTGCCAAGGTTTGGAAAGCTCCAGCTGTGGGATCTCAGCCAGCCCACTTACCCCTCCCACCTCTCTCCAACCTTGCCTCTGACAGGATCTTGAACCGAGGCTGGAATTGAAGGTCACATCTGTTCCTGGCTGGGGTCTGGAATGGAGTTTGGGTGTCCTGGGAGGAAGTCAGAGGGAAAAGAATAAGACTGAGCTGCAGGGAGGAAGTACTTAGGTGACAGTGGGATGGGGAGGAGGGCTGGCCCTTAGTGCTGACATTTACAGTCCAGGCTCTGTCCTGCCACCCCCTTCCAGATCCCTGTCTTCAAACCACAGGGATGGATTAGTCCTTTCCTGTCTGTGGTAGGATCAGGGAAGGCAATGTGGAGGGAGACCCGGCTGTTTGCAGCAGCATGAGAATACAGGCATTCTTGAATCCACCGTCTCTGCCACAAAGGTCCCTGGATGAGATCTGTTATCAGTCAGGAATCAAGCTCCTTCAGGGAAGGACAGGGGACCTCAGAAGAGATGAGTGGGGGTCAGTGGCTGGGGTGGGAGTGAGGCATAGGGTGAGAAGGTGACCATAGTTTGGAGACAAAATTCCACATATGTGGAATTTTGATCTGATAAATGAAATTGAGATTATTTCCCCCCCACCCCAGAAAATATGAGGCATGATATTGCTTCCCCTTAAGTAGGTTCAAGGCCAGTGGTTCAAGGGTGCAGTGGTGGGCAGAGGTTAGACTTCAAGGCCCTGCCTGGCTGACACCGGGATCTTTAAGGAAGAAGTGCGTGGAGATCAGGCGCAGAGGCTGGAGGGCTTGGTCCCACTGACCTCCTCTTACGGGTCCTCTTTCCTCTCGTCACGTGGGGCTTTTCTCTCAGGTTTCAGAGGAGTGGGGCAGGTGACTCAGATGTTCCCTCAGGGTTTGACTGCAGAGACTTGGGAGGAATTTCAGTTCAGGAGAAAGTCTGCTGCCTTCCCCTGTCCTCTCCATCCACCCTCCCTGGGAGCACCCTCCCTGCGGCCTCCACCTGCATCACGCTGTCCTTCAGAGATGCCTGCTGCATAGCAACCAATCCCTGCTGCCTCTGCAACCTTGCCAGTTGGGGGTGGGGTGGAGTGGGGAGCAGTGGGAAGGCCTCCCAGGCTGGGGTGGGACTGTAGCAGTGACAGGCACTACACCCTGAGCCCAGGTCTGTTCTTGGACTGGTGGTAGAAGTACGTTGTTCTACTGTGGTAGAACAATGTCTGAGTGTCTCCTGGGATACAGGGAACTTCCCTGGCCCCTACTCCCTCCTTGACTGCAACCTGAGCCCGAACCCCCCTCCCCAATCCACAACCTCTACCCCAGTGCTGGGCCTTAGCCCTTCGCTGGGTGCCTTCCCTATTCCTGATTCTCAGTCCTCCATGCCAAGAGCCTCCGACAAGCCTTTCCTGCGAAGAGCAGTGAGGCCTAGAAGAAATCATTCATTTAAAAGCCCTTTAAAAACCTCTGGGTCCATATTAGCTCACGACCTTGACCATATCCTTCGCAGAAAATATCTTCCTCCACTGATCCCCATCTCAAGGGCTGTCTTCTCTGCTTCTGGAGTGGGTGGCAGGATGGGTGGGAGGGTCCTGATGCGGAGAGCTTCCTAGGACATGGGGAGATGGTGCCCTCTGTTTGGCCCACACCTCCGAAGTTTTCTTTCCAGGACAACCTGGTTTCCCTTCTTCGGCTTATTGTTCCATCAGATTTCAGATTGTGAGTTCTGATTTTTGGTCAGAAGAATAAAGTTTATGGGATTGGGGACGTGTGTGCTATGGGAACTCAGTGTGTCCCCAGCCCTCGTTTGTAAACAACGAAGGTGAGATTGGCAGAAGGGGTTTCTCCCCAGCTCCATCCTGGGAGGCTCTGACGTGAGCATCCCCAAGTCCCCAGCCCCTTCCCATGGGCCCTTTCTTTCCCCTGGTTTCCTGGGGACAGAGAGCAGGGGAATAAAGTCAGAAGGCAGTGAGAGGGAGCTGTGTCTGCTGCCTGGATTCTCTGGGCTCAATCCCACAGTGGTAAGTCCTTCCTTCTTATGTCCCTGTTTGTCTGCTATCTGGTGGATCACACTGGATGGTGAGGGTGACGAGTGGTGGTGACCTCCACCAAGGAGGCCTGGCCCCACAAGCGGGCATGCACTCGGGGAGGAAACGGCAGAGCCTTTGGAACTTCTTGAGAAATGGCTCTGGGGTGGAGGTGGGGGTCCGGACTAGCCAGGATGCTCCTGCAGGTGCACAGAGGCCCTTGCCTTCAACTGCGGCCCCACTTGAGTCTCCTTGAGGTGGGAGAGGCTGAGGTTTTGGGTGGTGGGAGAGGAATGATGGGTCTGGTTTAAGAATGGCAGGGAGGGCTTTGGGCTGGAGGTGAGGACAGGATTAACCTGCAGTCCTCAAGTTCTGTGGGTGTTGTCTCCTTCCTCCCTGAGGGGGAAGTGGTTTTTAGTCTGAGTCACTTGAGCTCCATCCGTCTCTTCCCTTGGCTGGGGGTGGCTGTGCCATTGGAATCCAGGCCTTTATTCAAGCGTAGCCTCTGGATCCAGGTTTTGGAATGATCCTGGAGATTTCAAGAGGCCCCCTGCTCTCCCTGCCTGCTGGCCTGTCTGTGTGTGCACTGCTCTGGGCCAGAGTCTGGAGACCAGTTGGGCCAGCTCAGCCACCTCCCTGCTGCTCCTTGTTGAGCCCTCATCTCCTAGTTCCAGCCCAGCCCCCTCTCAGCCCTGGACTCTCTCTTTGCCCTGTCCCCTACTTTAATAATGGGACACTCCTCGATATCAAGTGATTCAGGCACTGGGGGAAAGGCTGGTGACTAAGGTGGGAACCGTCTGTGGAAAACCAGTTCCTAGGCTGGAAGGGGCAGAGAGAAAATCGTGACCCTTGATCTGCTCCAGCATCTGCCACCAGGCTTTTTGAGGAGGTCGTCTTGTCATCTTTCTGCCCCAGGCCTCCTTTTCAACAACTCCCAAGCAGGAGAGTCTGCGGTCTGCTTTGGGGGCTGGCCGTTCTCCTTGTACCAGCTGCTCCAGGGTTTGCTGTGGGTCTCACTGTAACCTGTGCTGATACAGATGGGTGCTCTTGTTAGTGGATTTCGGTCTCATCTTGGGTTCCAGTCTCTTGTCTTTGAGGGAGGGGCCTCAGAGGTAGGCTAGTGCTGCTGGTGGTGACTTCCTGAGGAATGGGATCTTCCCTGCTCCCTCTGCAGAGCTGCACACTGTGATGGAGACCCCTCTGGAGAAGGCCCTGACCACTATGGTGACCACGTTTCACAAATATTCGGGGAGAGAGGGTAGCAAACTGACCCTGAGTAGGAAGGAACTCAAGGAGCTGATCAAGAAAGAGCTGTGTCTTGGGGAGGTAGGTGATTGTTCCCTCATCCTCCACCCCAAAGTCTGAGTACTCCCTCTGGGGGACACATACCTACTCCCAGGATCCTCCAGCCTAAGCCAGGGGCAGGGTGGCCAAGGGCTACAGACAGAGACAAAGGAAGACGGTGGGGATTTGGGGCCAGCAAAACTCTAGCCCTCTGTGAAGGAGGATGCGTCAGGGTCTCACTGAGAAGGAGGAAGGGCTGAGTCTGGAGGGTTTAGAGAAGGAGATTGAGCCTTCGATGGTGCGGCTAGGCTTTCGCAGCAGTGGCAGAACCTGTGCTAGGGGTCGTGGGTGGTGAAGGGATGCAGGGTGTCCAGGTCCAGCTGTGTACAACCCAAGGGTAGGGACCCCGCCTGATTCTTCTCTGTGTGCACAGCATGGCCAGGGCTCTCCAATGATGCTGGCTCTCCAACTGAAACTATGTTTACAAGTTACCCTATGTTAACTGGTAAACATAGGGTAGCCAGGAGACAGAACTGGTTCTCACCAGATGGAGGTGGCGTGAGGGAGGTGACTGACAGAGGGGAAGGCCCAGGAGGTTATTATAATACAATATCCCTGAGGATAAATATATATATATAAAAATTTAAATATATATACATATACATATATATATATTTATTTATTTTTTTGAGACGGAGTCTTGCTCTGTCGCCCAGGCTGGAGTGCAGTGGCATGATCCTGGCTCACTGCAACCTCTGCCTCCTAGGTTCAGGTGATTCTCCTGCCTCAGCCTATTGAGTAACTGGGATTACAGGCACACACCATCATGCCCGGCTAATTTTTGTATTTTTAGTAGAGATGGGGTTTCACCATATTGGTCAGGCTGGTCTTGAACATCTGACCTCGTGATCCATCCGCCTCGGCCTCCCAAAGTGTTGGGATTACAGGTGTGAACCACTGCGCCTGGCCAAGGATAAATAAGACTCTGTCACCCAGGTTAGAGTGCAGTGGTGTGCTCATGGCTCACTGTAGCCTTGAACTTTCAGGCTCAAGCGATTCTCTCACCTCAGCCTCCTGAGAAGCTAGGACTACAAGCGAGTACCACCATGATTAGATAATTTTTAAAATTTTTTGTAGAGATGGGGTCTCACTATTTTACCCAGGCTGTTCTTGAACTCCTGGTCTCTAATAATCCTATCGCCTCGTCCTCCCAAAGTGCTGAAATTACAAGCATGAGCCACTGTGCCTAGTCTTATTATTTTTACAGTTAAAAAAATCAATGCTCAAATGCATCAAATAACTTGCCTAAGGGGGCTGAACTGGAGTTCTGGGCCAGGCCGGTGAATTATCCTCCCTGTTTCCTTTAAAATTTGGCCTGGGTGCCTCTCCATCTATTACACCTTGAGCCCTGGTAGGCCCTCCCAGAAAGAAGGTCCACAGTGTGCCACATGGGCAGGGGACCAAAGCAGGGGTGGGCATCCCCAGGCCTGATCTCTAGCTTCTGCCATGTTCCCTGCATCCTGGAGTTAATGAGGGCAAAGGGAGAGGCCACGGGTACAGTAGGGGTTAATTACAGAAGGAGAAACGCCCATGGGAGGGCCTGGCAATAACAGGAGCCCAGGCTGGGGACTAGGATCATATCACAGACAAGCAGTTTCCGCCTCCATAAGTCCCAATGTCTCCTGTGAAAACCTGTAGCTGATGGCAATGATGAGGAGACATCAGGATCTGCTTGTCTATATTTTCTTCCTGTTCCACCCAAAGGACCCTGACTCCATCGTTGTAGTGGAGCCAGGCTGGGACATCAGAGGACCAGACAAGAGTGCACAACTGGGCTCCAGGCAGGCCTCTTGCACAGCTCTCCTAGCAGCAGAGGGATGCAGTGGCTTCACAGCCCCGGTGCACTGCTCTCATTGAGAGACATTTTGTCTGGGCTTATTCTCACCTAGTCCTTAGAACGGGGAGAGAGTCACTCAGAGACTTGGATAGCGCTCAGTGCCACATAATCAGCAAGGTTTTTTTTTGAGAAGGAGTTTCATTCTTGTTGTCCAGGCTGGAGTGCAATGCGCATGATCTTGCTCAATGCAACCTCTGTCTCTCAAGTTCAAGCGATTCTCCTGCCTCAGCCTTCCAAGTAGCTGGGATTACAGGGATGCACAATCATGCCCTGCTAATTCTGTATTTTCAGTAGAGATGGGGTTTCATCGTGTTGGTCAGGCTGGTCTTGAACTCCTGATGTCAGGTGATCTACCCGCCTCGGCCTCCCAAAGTGCTAGGATTACAGGTGTGAGCCACCGCGCCTGACCCAGCAAGCTGTTTTTATCAGGTGTTAGTAGAAAACCCAGATGATTGTTTATTTGGCTGGGGGACAGTGTTGCAGGGAAGGCAGGATAGGCTAGCATTCCCGCTGTCATTTATTTCCATTCAGGAGTCAGGTCCCTGACCCCCTACTTCATGCCAGGCCCTTGCCTAGGTGTGGGCAGCAGGCAGACTCTGGGGGTCGAGATGCTGACAGTGTCACTGACTCAGCTGCGGCTCACACTGAGGTTTCAGGGTGGGTATGACACCATGCAGTGGTGCGAGGGCAGGGCTGGGAGTGGGGTCTGAGTTGTCCCTCCACCTGGGTCTGTGAAGATGAAGGACAACAGCATCGATGACTTGATGAAGAGCCTGGACAAGAATAGTGACCAGGAGATCGACTTCAAGGAGTACTCGGTGTTCCTGACCACGCTGTGCATGGCCTACAACGACTTCTTCCTAGAGGACAAGAAGTGACCCGGGCTGCCCTCCGCCCTTACCCTCCACCCCTTGCTGCTGACCTTGGCTGCTCCTCTCATGGACCCTCTTTGGCCCCCTGCCCTCCTCTCCCTCCCAGATGGACCCTTCCATGGGAGGAAATAAAGTTTCCATTGCAGGTGCTGGGAGTCTGGTTTTGAAGCTGTCTTGTCTACCTTGGCCTGGGGAGAGGGGAGCACAGGAGGGGTCTCTCCTTGAGTGGGTTGAGACAGCCTCTGCCTCTGGGGTTTAGGGTCCTGGGGGTTCACTGCATTCTTCTCCTTCTTTGGTGTGGATGTCTCATTGGTCTTGTCGTGGCTCTTTTTGCCTGCCTGGAAAATGGGGAAGTCAGGCCAGGCGGGAACTCTGCAAGGATGCAGAGGAAGCTAAGAGGGAAAGTTGCTTTGAGAGGAGGACACTGGGAGGGGTTGGGAGTGGCAGGCAGGCCTGACTTGTCCATAGCTCACCGGAGGCCACCTTGGCAGCACCTTTAGGAAGGGCAAGTCTGGCCTCCACACCAGCCCCCTCCCTCTTCTCCATTTCCCCTTCAACAGCACCCCTCTCATCTTCTCTGGGGGCCAATGCTTTCTTCTTTCCCTACCTCCTCCATCGAAATCTTTTCACAGGGGAGGGTCTGAAATAACGAATGGTGCTTACAGGGCTGGGTTCCCGCCTGCATGCACACTAACACGAAAGGTGCTGTAGTGAATGGAATTTGGGGCAGTGAGGGGAAGGCGTGGAGATGTGGTAGGAACTTGTTGCTGGTGGGGGATGGGTGCCATAGATATCCTTTAGACTACAGGCTACTTCCCCTATCTCCTTTGGGGTGACCCTGAGTATTCTCTGAGGGACACCGGAATCCTGTGAGGCACCCTCCTTGCCCACATTGACGCTGCGCTGGCTCGAGGGTCACATTCATGGTCTGGCAGAGGGAGCAGGGGTGACCGCCGCCGTCTGCCTCCTGCTCCCCTTGCCGAGTCACGTGTCACGAAGAGCAAACTGAGCAAAGTGAGCTGCGCAGATGAGGGGAGACTCGTCGTCACCGGGCTTGCAGTGGCATCTGCTGGGCTCCCCCATCCCGTCCTAACCCGGAACAGCCCCGGGCAGGAGGCGTGGAAAGTCGAGGGGAGAAACTGCGAATGTGTGTTGTGTAAGCCAAGGCGCAGGGTGGGGCGCGGGCGGGACTTGGGCGGGTGGGGTGGGCTTGGCCGAGCCTCCGGGGCATCGACCGCTATAAGGCCAGCCGGACTGCGACACAGCCCATCCCCTCGACCGCTCCCGTCGCACTTGGCCGCCTCCCTACCGGTGAGTTCTCGCCAGGAGCCCTGGGTACTTCCCAGGGCCAGCCGTCCTCACGCTGGGGCTCCAGCCATCCCCTGCCCCGTCCAGCTGCTGGATCCAGACTGGGGCCGTCTGTGGCGCTCCCCCGCTGGAGGGATAGTCAGAAGCAGCAGTGCTGTGCCAGGCAGGCCTTGGGCTAAGGGATCCCAATGGGGTGTGCTCTTTTGGGGTGCGGAAGGGAGTGCCCTGGGTGTGTCATTGCCACCACGTGTGGCCCTGTGAGGCTGTGCTTAAGCTGCCTGTGCAGCCTCTATCCCCTTCCCCTGCCCAGCCATACTCCCTAACTTCTGGATCCCCTGAAGGACAGTTCTCAGCTGTGCCCAAAGCTACTGTTCCTATATGCTTCTTAGAATCCTTAAGCCACCTCTCCTGCCTTGACCCTAGTCTTCTCTCTCCTTCCCCTTCAAGTCCTGGGCTGTCTCCTGATGCCATTGTGTGTGGCCTGAGACTGGGTGGTTCCAGAGGGGTCGGGGCTAGTGCAGGCAGCATTATGGGGCGGTGTGGGTGAGAAGTCCTTGCTCCCATGGCACTGACAAGGCCCTCTGCTGCCAGCTCCAAGTCCAGCCCTCAGCCATGGCATGCCCCCTGGATCAGGCCATCGGCCTCCTTGTGGCCATCTTCCACAAGTACTCCGGCAGGGAGGGTGACAAGCACACCCTGAGCAAGAAGGAGCTGAAGGAGCTGATCCAGAAGGAGCTCACCATTGGCTCGGTGAGTGGCCTCCTCTGCAGGACCCCTTTTCCCACCCTTGTCCTTTGGAAGCAGGATTAGGGGAGGGAGAGGTGCCAGGTGCATCTGACTCATATTTACCCACATTCTGAGGCCCTGGTCCACATGTCTTACTGAGCTGTAGACCCACTCTCCCAGAGAGTAGGGGATGCTCCCAGCCTGATATCCATCGCTCCAAATGAGGGCCAGTAACTGAGGAGTAGCTGAGGAGAAGTAATGCCAAAGTGAAACTCAAGGTGGACATAGGTCCTTGGTGATGAGGGAGCACAGATCCACTTGCAGAGATGGCTGCCTGGGAGGGGGAAGCGGAAGAATCCAAGATTGTCATCACCACTGAGTATGGATTTCACATTCTAACACGTTAGAAGCTGCAGGATGCTGAAATTGCAAGGCTGATGGAAGACTTGGACCGGAACAAGGACCAGGAGGTGAACTTCCAGGAGTATGTCACCTTCCTGGGGGCCTTGGCTTTGATCTACAATGAAGCCCTCAAGGGCTGAAAATAAATAGGGAAGATGGAGTCACCCTCTGGGGGTCCTCTCTGAGTCAAATCGAGTGGTGGGTAATTGTACAATAAATTTTTTTTTGGTCAAATTTACCCTTGTGTCCTGGTTTCCGAATTATTTCTGTTCCTCCTTGACTTAGTGGGGCACCAGCCATCGGAAGATTTGCTCATAGTCAACCTCTGAAAATGACTCATTGACTCGCCAGGCCAGGGGACCCACCCTGACAAGGCTCCCTCTAGCACATAAGGTGCCTTTATGTGAATGAGGAGAGATGCCCCTCTTGGCAATGCCATCCTAAGGAAAGCCTCAAGTGGTTTCCAGTAGAGAGTGTCCTGGGATGAGCTTGGAGATGGAAATGGTCCCTGGGCTGGGATGTGATGGAGTTTGGGGGCCTGGAAGTGGGGCAGAGATAGTCCCAGAGGCTCCCAGATGAGTTTTGCTCTGGGTGTGGCAAGAAGGGCCCTGGGGTGGGGCAAGTCCCCTTTCTCACCACAGTGCAGGGGGCAGATAGGACACATCTGAGATGCCTGAGGCTTGGCTGGGGGAGTTTCCTAGACCAGTGAGGACGCTGTGTGACTGAGTCTACTGCGGCTGCACAGGTCCCAGGTGGAGTTGGGGAGGCACACTCTAGGAGTGTGTCCCTGCATTCAGGGATGAGGGCCTTTTTGTTGGAATGGTGGTCTGAGGAGCTGGCAGCTGTACCAACACGTGAACCAGGGGGTGCTCAGTAATGGGGCGGGGTGTCTCTGCAGCCTCAGCATAATGACTCATTCGGCACTTCCACGGGATCCCAGCCTGGATCTCAGCCCCATCAGAGAAGATGACTAATTGAATTACTGTCCATCGTCTGCATTAGTGTTTTCAGGCAGGAGGGAAGAGGGTAAGGAGGGTAAATGCTGTTTCCGGATGATGCCACATCATTCAGCCTCTCTAGGCCTAGTCCGAGCTGGGCAAGTCCACCTCTAGCTCCTGGGGAAGAGATCTTGACTTTAGATGGAGACCACATCCTTCCGTCCCTCTCACCTCCCCCTCTTCCCTTGGGGGTCCAACTTTGTGGAATTAAGTTGTCTTCTGAATCCACTGGGTGGGGATTGGTAAACAGCTGGGAGCCGCACCTTCTTGGAGCCCCTCCTTCTCTATTGCCTCCCCTGTCCTGCAGGGAGAAGTCGCGCTGTTGGCTGCAAGAGACCGGGGACCGAATTCCCCCTCTGCACAGCCGTGCCCAAGCCTTGGCTCTATTCAGCTCCCTCTGGAAAAGTACGCACTCCCCAACCCCTCCCGCGCCCCGCTAGGTTCCCGCCCTACGCCCCTTTCCTCCCCCTTTCTTCCAGTTCCTCGCCGCCTATCTTCCAGTGGCGGACAACTTGGGGCTCGGAGCGAGCGCCCTCCTGTGAGCAGAGAGCAGCAGGCAGCGGGGACAGTCGGGTTGGTTTTCTTGAGCCTCTGGCAGGGGCCTGCCGTAGGTCTGTGGCCTGGCAGTCACCGAGTCCTTAGAAGAGGAAGACAGAATAGGGCGCCCCGGGAACGTCAGGGTAGGTGATCCTTTGGCTCCCGGCAATCAGCCCTAGAATTAAGCAACTTAGCTTCACAATCGACACACCTACCACAAGTAAGTCCATGAGGGAAAGGCAGTCCCTTTGTAAAGACAAATGGAATCTGAACCTGAACCCTGCGCCTCCCCTCCCCCACCTGCAACTCTTCTGCAAGGCTGGAAGACCGTCGTACAAATAAATGCTGCCTGCGGAGAGGGAAGAGGAAGCCCGCTGCTGCGGGGAGGGGATGCTCAGGCAAGGCAGTCCGCCGGGCGTTCCTGGGGAGCTCTGGTGGGTGGGCAGGCCACCGGTGCAGGGGAATCAACACAGGTGCACGGTCCACCTGCTAAGTAAACAGGCGTGTCCTTTCGCTTCTGCTTCTCCACGGTGGTGGAGGGGAACGGGAACATGGATTTCAAGAATAAGACAAAAAACAAAACAAACAGCAAATCTTTAGGGGTATAATTTTTAAGTTTTTTTTTTTTTTTTTGGCAGGGGAGGGGAGGGAAGCAGTATTTACAATGGCATATGGTAGGTGCAGCAGTCAAATGGTGGAATTGGGTGTGGAGAGGTGCACAGACTGGACATTTTATTGCTCCAACCAACTTAAAGTTGGAATTGAATCCTTTTAGCTCACTGTTGAGTATGGTGTGGGCTTATAGGATGGGGAAAAGTTAGGATGTGAGCTGAGGGCTTCGTGAGAGGTCACTTTACTTTTCTGAAGGTTGAGCAGTGGGAGTGGCTCTACGTCTCTCCACTTCCTTCAGCTGAGGTCAGCCCATTACTGACATTAATCCTACAATCTAACCACCCTAACGCCGGTGAAGCTGCAACAGCAGCACCACAGACCATCTCTGTAAGCTGGGGCGGGCCCCAGGTAAGGGGGTTTAGGACTGAGTTACAGGAAGTGGCTCTCTGTTTTTTGCCAAGCAAATAGGAAATTGTCAAGAATAATGCCACCATCTTTGTATAAGACCACACTTGTATAGCAACTTCGTTTTCATGAGGTGCCTGTCATAGCCATTGCGTCTGGTCATCTTCAGAAGATTTATGTATAGTATGTATTATTTTATTTTAATAGAGACTGTTTCTCTCTGTTGCCCAGGATAGAGTGCATAGCTCACTGCAGCCTCCAATTCCTGGGCTCCAGTGTTCCTCTCACCTCAGCCTCCCGAGTAGCTAGGACTACAGGTGTGCACCAACATGTCTAGCTAATTTATTTTTTGTAGAGATGAGGTCTTGCTGTTTTGCTCAAGCTGGGCTTGAATTCCTGACCTCAAGTGATCCTCCCCGCTTGGCCTCCCAAAGTGCTGGGATTAAGGTGTGAGCCATGTGAGCCGATGTGCTCAGCTTGTATAGTATATATTATTAACCCCACTGGACAAGTGAGAAGAGTGAGCTACAGGGAAGCCATTGCCTCTACCCAGGTCAGACTGTAAGTTAAGAGGGAACTGTGAGCAGAGCTGAGTTCTCCTGATTCCAGGCCAGCTTGTTAGTGCCTGTCTCATGATATTCTTTAACCATTTCTTCCTTATCTTTTTCTCTTAAATGTTTTACTTAGATATCGGGAATATATAAAACTGTTTATAGACTACATCTAAGACACAAGAACAATGACACAAAACCCACCCAGTTTAACAAGTGAAAGTTACCATTACCTTCTAATTCCCTAACTTGTCTTCCCTATCCCATTTTCTTCCCTCTCAGTGGAACCGCTATCTGGTAAAACTATTTGTCATTTCCTTTCTTAATAATTTTTACTACACGTATTTTCATCTCCAAACAATATATGGGTTTACATTATTGTGAGTTTTATGTAAATGGAATAATATAATGTGCATTGTTCTGTTATTGGCTGTTTTTCACTCAACATTATGTTTGAGATTTATCCAAGTTGCTCTAGTTTGCTAGATTTCACTGCTATGCAAGAGTTCATCATATGACTACATTATTTATCCTGGCCATTGCTGATTATCATTTTGGGTTATTTCTATTTTTCCCATTACAAACAGTGCTTCTGTGACCATTTCTGTAGATGTCTCCCAGGATTCGTGCCAGAGGATCGTACCTATGTGTGGAATTGCTGGAGGTTTGTACCTATGTGTGGAGTTGCTGGTGTGTAGAGTACTCACACTTTCAGTTCTACTAGAAAATGCCACCTTGTTTTTCAAAGTTATTGTATTAATTTGCACTCATACCAGCTTTGCATGTTCCATTTACTCCATATGCTTATTTTTTGTTGGGCTAATTTTTTTTGGTGCCTAGTATGAAATATTAACCGATTTTTAAAATTTGTATTTCCCGGATTACTGATGATTCTGAGCACTTTTTTTTTTTTTTTTAAGTAGAGATAGGGTTTCACCGTGTTTGCCAGGATAGTCTCAATCTCCCGACCTCATGATTCGCCTGCCTTGGCCTCCCAAAGTGCTGGGATTATAGGTGTGAGCCACTGCGCCCGGCCAAGCATCTTTTCATATATTTATTGGCCATAAGTTTCTGGTCGAGATTTTTTCTCTTGTCCTTATATATGTTGCAATTGTCATCTAGTTTGTGGCTTGTTTTTTTACTCTCTTTAAGGATTGAAAATTAGGAAGGTATTAATTTACTTTTTCCTTTTTTTTTTTGAGACAGGGTCTTGCTCTGTTTCCCATGCTGGAGTACAGTGGTGTAATCTTGGCTCACTGCAACTTCCACCTCCCAGGGTCAAGCAATCCTCCCACCTCAGCCTCCTGAGTTGCTGGGACTATAGGTGTGTGTCACCATGCCTGCCTAATTTTTTTGTAGCGATGAGGTCTCACTATGTTGCCCAGGCTGGTCTCAAAATCCTGGGCTCAAGTGATGCTCACACCTCAACCTCCCCAAGTGTTGGGCTTGCAGGTGTGAGCCACCCTGCCTCACCTAGATTTTTAAAATATCTTTGAATAACATGTTATCATTTTCAGCATGCATGTACTTAATTGTACAATTTATTGACATTGTTGCAAATGCCATATTTTTTTGTTTATGGAAAGGCCAACCTCTGTAACATTTTAAAAAATATTTTATTTTTAATTATTATTATTTTTAAAAAGAGATGAGATCTCACTGTGTTGTCCAGGCTAGTCTTGAACTCTTGGGCTCAAGCAATCCTTTTACCTCAGCCTCCCAAAGTGCTGGGATTACAGGCATGAGCCACCATGCCTGGCTTATAAAATATTTAAAGAGATTTATTCTGAGCCACATGTGAAGACCATGACCCATGACACAGGTTTAGGAGGTCCTGAGACCATGTGACCAAGGTGGTTGGGTTATAGCTTGATTTTATACATTTTAGGGTGACAGAAGTTACAGGCAGACATCAACACATTAAGGTATACACTGATTTGGTCTGGAAAGATAGGACATCTCAAAGTGAAGACTTACAGGTCATACGTGAATTCAAAGAACTTCTGATTGGCAATTGATTGAAAAAGTTAAATTATTACCTGAAGACCTGGAATCAATAGAAAGGAGGGTCTGGGTTAAGATAAAGGATTGTGGAGACCAAAGTTCTTATTATGTAGATGAAGTTTCATAGGTGGCTACCCTTAGAGACACTAGATGGCAAATATTTCCTATTCAGATGTTTAAAAGATGCTAGACTCTCAGCTAATCTATTCTATGTTTTTCATGTGCAACATGATTTTTTATTGATGCCTAATAGTTGTACATATTTATGGGGTACATGTGGTATTTTGAAACAAGTACACAATATGTAATGATCAAATCAGAGTAATTAGGTATCCATCACCTCAAGCATTTAACATTTCTTTGTGTTGGGAACATTCCATATCTTTTTTTCTAGCTGTTTTGAAATTTGTTATAAATTCTTGTTAACTAAAGTTCCCTTGCTGTGTTATGGAACACTGGAACTGACTCCTTCTGTTTAACTGTATCTTTGTACCTATTAACCAACTTCTCTTCGTCCTCCCCTCTCCTCTACCCTTCCCAGTGTGTGGGAATCACCATCCTACTCTCTGCCTTTATGAGATTTACTTTTTTAGCTCGCAGATATGAGGGAGAACATTTGATGTTTGTATTTCTGTATCATGCTGCAAGTGAGATGACTTCATTCTTTTTTTGTGAATGACTAGTATCCCATCGTGTATATATACTGCATTTCCTTTATTCATTCATCCATTAATGGACACTTAGGCTGATTCCATATCTTGACTATTGTAAATAGTGCTGTAATAAACATGAGGATGTAGATATCCCTTTGATATACTGATTTTCTTTCCTTTTGATATGTTACCAGCAGTGGGATTGCTGAGTCCTATGACAGATCTATTTTCACTTTATTGAGGAACCTCCATACTGTTCTCCATTGTGGCTGTACTAATTTACATTCCCACCAAGAATAGACTCGTGTTCTCCCTTCTGCACATCCTTGCCAGCATCTGTTATTTTCCGTCCTTTTGATAATAGACATTTTGTTGATACCCCATTTTAACTGAGATGAGATATCTCATTATTGTTTAGATTTGCATTTTTCTGATGATTAGTGATGCTGAACATTTTTTCATATACTTCTTGGCCATTTGTATGTCTTTAAAAATTTTTAAACAATTTTATTGAGGTATATATTTTTAATATATATATAATATATGAAATTTTTTTTTTAGATGGATTCTCACTTTGTCACCCAGGCTGCAGTGCAGTGGCCTGATCACAGCTCATTGCAACCTCCAACCTGCTGGGTTCAAGTGATTTTCCTGCCTCAGCTTCCCAGGTAGCTGGGATTACAGGTGCCCGTCACCATCCCTGGCTAATTTTTGTATTTTTAGTAGAGACAGGGTTTCGCCATGTTGGCCAGGCTGGTCTTAAATTCCTGACTTCAAGTGATCTGCCTGCCTCGGCCTCCCAAAGTGTTGGGATTACAGGCGTGAGCCTTTTAGCCACTGCATGGTGTAGTGGCAGCACCCTACCACCCTTGTTTATTTCCCATTAGGGGGAGCCTTAGCACCCCAGGCCTACATGGTTTGGGACAAATTTTTCCCCCTTCACAACTCACCAGTTAAGGTGAGATCTTTTCAGCTGGAGAAGAGAGCCCCTTTAG